ATATTTGACAATTTGACATTCATCCGCGATGCATTTCAGAGTGGTGAACTTGAAGGTTTTTTTTTAGTCTCGATCAAGAGGCTGCATATGATCGTGTAAATCTGGAATATCTTTACCGAGTCTTAAAAAATTTCGGATATCCTGATAATTTTATTAAATATGTGAAATTACTGCACACCGACTTCACCTTGGTGGTGTCGGTGGGCAGTGATCTCACGGCCCCCATATCAGTCGGAGTCGGTCTCAAGCAGGGTGACCCCAGTGCAAGTCCATTATATTGCATTGCAATCGAACCATTATTATTTAACTTGCATAAAAAGCTACGACTCTCGGGCCCCAGCGCCTGGCGCAGACATCCGAACAAGTATATTTCGGCGTACGCGGATGACACAAATGTCCTTCTCGGTCATCAGAGCCAAATCGGTATAGTTGAGTCGGAGTATGAAAAGTATTCACAATTTTCTTCCTCCAAATTAAATGATCAAAAGTCTGTAATTTTGATTTTGGGTGCCCAGGCGCCCCCCACAAACAGATTCCCTGTAGTTTCAGATGGGCTGAAAATTTTGGGAATTTTTTTTGGGAATAATAATTATATGGCACAAAATTTTACTATTTTAATGGATAAATTTGACTCGAAGTTAGAATTTTACACAAAAAAGTGCGCCCCGGTTAGTCACTTTTCACGTAGTAAAATTGTGAATACATTTCTCAGTCCAATATTTTGGTACATTTTTAAAGTACTGGACCCACCGATGGGAATTTTGGATGCAATTTCCAAGAAAATCGAAAATTATGTATGGTGGGGGTCGAAACGATGGGTGTCGAGACCCTACGTATACCTACCGCTTTTGAATGGGGGTCTGGGCGTGCGTAACCCAACAGCTCAGATCGCTACCTTCCGTCTCACTTTGGTAAATAAAGTTTTATCCTCATGTGAGGACAATTATTTTCTCGCTGAGTCTTTTAACCAAGTCCAATTATTAATTAACTCCGAGATTGTTAAACTATCAACCTTTTATAAAGAATTGTATAATGTTACCCAACGGCTTGGCGTGGGACTTACCGCGTGCAGCAGGGATTATTTGCATAATATTATGATAAGTAGCCAATTTTTATTTAGGAATTTGAGTAATAATTATTTATCTCGTTGTACGATAGTAAAGGTCGGAGATCTCTACGGTCCGAACAAATTAAAATGTATTGAGGCATTACCAGCAGCAGTAAAAAGGCATGCATTTTCGGAGAGGAAAAAGTATATTGATGCGGTTGCCATGGTAACCGACTCAATTGATGTTAGGTTAGATATCCCATCACTATTTAGTAAGTCAGAAAGGGTTGCGGTTTCCAAGGCAACCAACTACCTGCACTGCTTACGTGTACATAATATAATTAGATGGGAAGAGCTGGACGATGTCCTCTCCTCTCACCCACAGTGGTTCCGCTTAGTAACCACTGCAGTGTCAAACCCGGAAAAAGACAATGTCTTTAAATTCTGGCACAACGTGGGTTTGACCCCTTCCATGGCACACTCACTAAAAATTTACACTAATTTTTCATGTCCGTTTTGCAATATTTTAAAACCAAAAGTGGAACATTACTTAAAATGTCCACATACTTTAGATTTGAGAAAAATAGTAGCCAAATTTCTTACAAAAGTAAACATTGACACGCGAGCCTTCGACGACGCCTTCCTGCATGGGGTTTCGCATGCGGGGGGCAATATTATAATCTTTTACGCTTATAATATTATTTATAAAGCTTTTGTCCACAATTTAAATAATTACTCAGGTAAATTTAATCTCATTTCCTCGTTCCGTCACCTTCTTTATGGTCGGATTTTGACCGATTTTTATGCATGCAGTATAAATTCGAGCCTCTTTCCGAAATTTCACAAGAATTGGGACAAATTTGATATTTATAAAATTTCGAAAAATAAAATAAATATAAATTTAGGATTTTAATGCAATTAACTTTCCTTTTCTGCATGACTAACTGAAATCTAGTCTTATATTAGTCTATAAGATAAATCCACCTAGTTTTTATGATGTGATAAGATTTTACTATATTTGTGATACGTCGTTTGATAAGAAAACCTTGTACTCATATTGATTAATGATATTTTATGAATTATGAAATTGTCCAAAATGACCAAAATTGTAACATTTTAAAAGGCAAGAAGATAAAGGAGACAAGCACTGGCTTAGTTCCTACCCATGACGGCCAAATTTTGTAAAGCCTTGTCGAGAAGACGTCGCCTCAATATTTAAAAAAAAAAAATGATATGTAATTGATGATTTAACTTAATTAATTGGAATAAATTCGTGCGTTATGTTAATTTAAAAAAAAAATTCATTCAGAAATTTTGTAAAAATTACTCATTCATTATTCATGAATTTATTTAGTACGGAATGAATAATTTATTCATTCTTAATTGAATAAATTGAATGAATGTGAACTGGTATGTATAATTTAAGCACTTTCGTAATCAGTCTTTGAAATTTTAATTATTTTGCACAAGAAAAACTTGAGACTGCCGTGAGATCTACTACCTACCCAGAAATGATTGAAAAAATCACCGCTGCCATAAAGGAAGGAAGCAGTGTCGTACTTATAATGCCAATCTCAGTATTCCTTCTGAGTTTGAATGATGCAACAATGCCGCCATTCTTCGGATCAGTATTGCCACCTGCATGGACGGAATTCGCACCATTTCGAATTTTTCTGTCCATCGTGGAAATGTATATTTCTGGATTTGCATGGGTTGCCAATGTCCAACTATTCCATTTAATAATATGCCAAGCTTTTTTCATAGCATTTTGGATCGGCGAACTAAAACTTGGGCGTGAGAAAGACACTCAGGTATTAAAAAACTTAACTCTTAATAAATATGTAAAAGTTATATACCTACAAATTTCAATGTTGGCGCGTATTTATGTTGCGTTCCCGCCTCATCTCATTCTACCCTTTCAAAGAAGGGTTTCTTTGCGGTTACATATAATCATTGTCCAAAATGGCTTCTCGAAACCAGTTTTGACAAATGGTTTTGGACGCCCAGGATGACCAAAATAGAAAATATGGTATAGATTTTTTTAAATTTTCTAATATTTCTAAATTTACACTATAATTTTCAGCTGTCCCACTTTGCCCCGACATTTCGAGGATTGCAATACTTGAACAATTTCTATAACGAGTGCTACTCCATCCAAGTTACAAATATGCTCTTGTTCTCGTTTCCGAACCAGTAAAATCTGCTATGACTTTTTGCATATCCATGAATTTTATTGGTTGGTTAAAAGCTGCATGTGTGTAGGTATACAATAGGCATGTTCCGGGTACTGGGTACCCGGTACCCGGCTTACCCGGCACCTTTTTGACTACCCGGTGAGTACCGGGTAATTTTCAGTGCCCGGTTTACCCGGCCGGGTACTTATTAAATTTTTATGCTAAATTAAAGTTTAAATTATTTTTACTTTGTAGAGTTAATTTTCCACCACATGCATAATTCATTTAGAATGAATGAATAACTGTATTTATCAACATTTGATGTGGTCATAAGAATTGGGGATTGACTTTGGGTTAGTTTTGAAGGTCTGTAATAATAAGTAAGTTGAAAAATTACCCCTGACCACTTATCTCGTCTAAGAAAAAAAAATTTGACTACCTATCTGCTTGTCGTTCGGTTTGTAAGGGCAACACCAATCAAAACTGGAATTTCAAGAGACTTTTGTATGATTAGCAATACAGTTTGCACACGTTTACAGTTGATGATTTTTGCGAGTTCAGAGTATTTTGAAAGAATTAAAAAAAATCCTTTCCCAAGCAATGTTATAAACTTTAATTGGAATTTTGGTAGGGTCTGGATTCGGCCCGTAGGCAAAATTACGACTCTTTTAGTGATTACAGGATTTCGATATCACCGCCTTTTCGCCCCTTTTCGGTTTTTGCGACTTTCGCCCCACTGCCCTCTGGCAAAGGGCGAAGTTGAACCAAATTACTGTCATAAACATTTGCTCTAAAAACTGCAAATCTAGATCTAAACTACAAGATTTAATTTTTTGGGTGTATCTAGAAATTTAGGTTGTAATTATTATACTTCCCAAAATCGTTTCAGTTTTTCTTGGATTTATCGCAATTCGTTTGTTATGTTTTATGTCACTTTACACTATAAAGTTTTTGGGCCAACTGCATCTTCTATAGTTCATTTCGTATCAATAATATCAACTAGTTGGTGAAACTTACTAAATGATGATTCTAATTCATACGTTTGTATATCATTCGGGAATTTATTTAAATTATGCATTACCGGGCCGGGTACCCGGTACCCGGTAGGAATTTTGCACCGGGTCCGGGTAACCGGGTACCGGGTAGCGCTGCTACCCGGAACATGCCTAGTATACAACTGTGCAAGCAAGAGTATATACATATCTAATTCTCTACAGAACGTAAAGATTTACTCGTAACATCAGAATTGCACCTATTAAGTTAAAACTGTCAAGCCAAGTCAAGTGGTCATCCTTTACATACATATATTCAATTGTTATGTAATACATATGTATGCATGCATCAATCTACATAACTGATTTGACATTCATGACACATCAGTCCGTGAACTTAGCACGGATAATGAACTCCAATATGTAGCTGTTACATATCTGCATACTTTGCCAGTACATAGACAGGCACAAAATCTTGAACATTTTCTGTATGTACATACGCAAGTATGTATGTCTTGCTCTAAAGCTACGTATGTATACATATGCACATACAGATTATATCACGTATGTGCAAAAAAGAACACACTGCTAGATTACATTCGCTGGCTTCATTTTGTGTAAAAGTGCGAATACCAAGTTTTGTCCCATCTCTTATCCCACCACCCAAAATAATTCTCTTTTAACGAATCTAGCCGTCATTTCTCCGAACCGAGTTAAATATTTATTTTAGACTAGAAGTCTTACACTATGCAGAATATGTATGTATGTATGCACCAGCGTCCTACATAAATTTTTTCACTCAATCTTCACAATTCAGCTGAACTAGTTTCCTCCGTAAAAAATCTGATACTTTAATTTGTATATATTTGCATCTTGAATCTCTATCGTTCCCAGAAATACTGGAAAAAATGATTTTAAAAGTATTCTCATCCCTTCTCCTTGTCACCTTGATTGGTCAAGCTTACGGTAACTTTGATATGGCATAATTTTCTCAATAAATTTGCAACGACATTGTTTTGTTAATTGTTATATGTAAATTCAGCCTTGCAATGCTATACGTACGAGTGTCGTGGTGAGAGCTGTAAAGACTTTCAAGAATCTGAAGATAAGACGAGTTACATAGGAACATGCCCTTCTCAAGCTACAGGTTCGCAAAAAAAATTTGCAAATTTAATATGCACCTCGTTATTGGACAATTAGAAATCCGGTATTAAAATAATACCAAGCGGTATTCATATATGACACTACAAAGTAGTAGCGATAAGTATTTGATACCTTGTATTGATAATTAGGCATTAAAGCTTTATGACATCGGTAACAAAATTTTATGGACCAATGTAATTTTAATACCAAGCTGTAACAACTTTAATGCCGAGAAATCAATACCTGCCTCACTATACCAGATTTCTAACAGTCTAATAATCCACATCTTTCCCTAGGTTGTCGCCACATCAGGGGCGAGGTGACTGCCGGACATCAAGGTGAGGCGCCACCACCCCCCGTTTTGGAACGGAGGGATTGCTGGACGCCGGGAATGAACGGGATGCAAGCGGACGAGGACACTTGTGCAGAAGGGGGTGGTTGGAACGAATTTTGGTCACGGGAAGGGAAACGGTGGGACGTCGATATTCAAGCCGATCAATGTCTCTGCTTCTCAAATTTGTGTAACGGGAAGGATTTGCCGTCCCCTGCGGGTAATAATGTCGGTCAAATTATGACAATAAGTTGCGCCACAGCATTTTTTGTTGCTGTTATGAAATTTTACTGAGGTTTTGATCAGATTGAGATTTAATCGTTACGTAAATAATTAAGAAGACCAGGTTGTCTCCTGTGGTTGTTGTGATGATACATATACATACACACATATGTGCATATAAATGTATGGATGTATAAGGCTTTAACTACATGAATACCGTTTTTAAAATATTTTGAGTCTTAAAATTCAGAAGGATCACTGGAGTAAGTAATTGTGGAAAATTAATTTCAATATTGCAAATGAACAATGAATAAAGATAAACAAAATATACTGGTAATTTTTGCGTAGTGCTGAGTACAAATTATTGAAATTAAAATTCCGCTAATAAATACTCTTAGGGGGTGTTATGAATTATTTTCCCCAATTAATTAATCTAAAATAAATTAATCTCCATTATTTTTCACTATTTTTACTAATAAATATTTTTCACATTAACGAAATAACTTCCAATATAGCATTCTTCAGAATTTCAGAATTGCATCGCATATTTCGATAACATTCAATCCAAACTTTTATTACATAAATACATTCTTCTAGATTTGCTCTAATTGAAAAAGTATTATATTTACGACCAATGGAAAATTAACGATACCAGTTATGCTTAGTAATACATATGTACATACATGGTGAAATACTTAAAACCAATCAATTCTATCCCAACATAACGGCAAAAGCCAATAACGAAACCAGATATACGATGTATGTATGTTCAAATGATAGATACAATATATACATAATCGATTAAAATCAACTGCAACAATCCCAAAAGTTACATATACAATTACTTTATCTAAAAATACAATCAAATTACAATAAAATGACTACCGGCGTAAATATAAAATATCAAAATTTATCTAAAAATACTTAGAAAACCAATCAAACTTATATAGCTTAACCTACAAACTCAACATAAAAAACATCCTTATATACCCATACTTTAATCCAATTGGGGCAAACTGATCAATAAATTGATAGTATCGTCCAAAATACTTGTGACAAACTGCGACTTCATTTTTTGATCCAACACAAAGAATACGAAACCGTTTAACCCGGCAACGATCGTTAATGGTCGCAGAGCTTGAAACTGGCGCCGTAAATGTTTGTCCTCCCAATGACCTTGACTCCCATCCAGCTTCTTCGTCCATCTCTTCAAGATCCGTTTCGAGTTGACATGCACGCTGACCACGACGGGGAGCAATTGTTGCGAAATTCCTAGAACGGCGAAGGCCGCGAATGGGAAGAGCATGTAGAAGCCGAGGGGGAGGACGCTATGCAATTTCATCATTCCGTACAAGGACGCGGCCGCTAAGCGGATTCCGGTCTGGATGAGAAGAAATATGAAACTGGACTCACCCCCGTGAAGGGTCTGCTCCAAAATTTTGATTTGCACGAATTTTAAGTAGACGGATTGGATGTTTTGGATCCGGGTTTGATTCGTGCGCCTGTACATAAATATACCGATAAGTAAACAGTATTCATAGATTTGTCATTAAACATTTCTGTGCTCGCAAAAATAAAATATCTAAAATAAGAAAAGCTGTGATACGTTTTCAATAGTGTTGCCACAAGCCCATGGGAGGGATAGGGAAAAATCCTATCCCTTCCATGGGCTTGTGGCAACACTAGTTTTCAAGCTTAGCGGTATTTCACTTTTTCAGTAGAAAGATAAACTGTTAGAAATCTGGTATACATAGTCCAATATGATTTGATTTATCAGTGTTAAAGTTGCTAGAGTTTGGTATTATCTAGAGTTATATGTACCTGTCCGTAAAAATTTGCTACTGCCATAGTAAAATTTTACTACTGTACACGGTTGACGGTATTACTTATCAATACCACCTTGGTCAGGAAATATGTACATATGCATGAATAACGCTTTCTATTAAATATGTAGTTTAGTACTGGATTTCTAAAAGTGTGTCCTTCCTATGTATTAGCTACATACATGACTAGCGAATTGCAATATGTGTACATAACGATGTACGATCTAAATAATTATCTGAACCGGCAATACGGCAAGAAAGCAGAAATTTAATTACAGCGAAAAAAAGATGCATTATCTTAGACGCAACAAAAAAATCAGCTATAAACATACTAAAAAAACTTAACCGATTAAGCCAGCAATTTTATTTGGCAATAAAATTGAAGAGGAACCTCTCCTTAAGAAAGAGCCAAATTTCTTAAAAATACATACCAACCCTCCAATTCAACCTTCCCTAGTTGTTGTATAGCTCTCAACGTCATTTGAACCGGTCCAATACTCACAATTCCCATGATAGTAATTAGCCTCAGACATTCCGCAATGCTCACGTACGTAATTATGGCAGAAACCACGTGAATCGTAACCCTCATGGGTATCCAGTTATACATCGCGGTAGAGATGAAATCTCGCACCATGTATTTGTACACGGTCAAGTTTGCCAAGAAACTAAATAATGCCACGATTAGGGGGATGCTCGGTAGAGGGAGTAGCATAGCGGCCACCGAAATCCCAAAGTAGTCCAAAGTTCCAGTCTCGTTCCGCCAGATGGGGTATTTCTTTGCCTTCTTGACCCCTGATTTCGCCATTTCTTCTATAATTCAAGCAAAAATTGGATTAAAGTTAACGATTTTTGTACACTTTTGAAGGGTACACTCAATTAGTGCGCCACATGAAACTGGATTTTTCTGGAACCGGATCATGCGAATCCCGATTCGGAAGGGTTCGATACCCAAAATTCCGGATTCAGATTCGGACTCGAGATTGGAGAATCGTCAGAACCATGGATTCAGATCGGAGCCCAGTCTGATTCATGCGGGGCACTACGCTCATAAGTATATTCTGGATTTAATATATTTCGCTTACTTGATATAAAATTCAGCGTGAAATTACTTTTCAAAAGGCATCATTTTTAAGTGTAAAAGTCTAATTTTTAGATAACTTACCATATTTTACTGCTTCGAATTCCTCATTAAATTCAAACAGGCGATACAGCCTGTTAATCGCACATTCCCCGTATTTCTGGATGTAGTAAACTATCCCAACCACGACACTACCAGAAGCTAACATGATCACATAGGTGAAAAGATGTTTCAATGTGACATCCGGACTTGGTCGGATTAATTGCCTCGTCACAACGTACGCTGTGCTACCCAAGCCTACAATACCGATCATTCCATACCCTAGAAATAACCAGGGCCAGAATTGTCTCCAATTTGCGGATGTAATTCGCGTAAAGTTCATTGCGAGTGGTTCTGCCTGGTATTCTATCGGCATGGTGGGAAGATATGAAGTTGTTTTAAAGGTGTAATCAATCATTTTGAAGGTCAACGGGGTGGGCATGATGAGACAGTTGGGGAGACGTCCGAACGACCAAGGTCTTCTGAGTAAGTTATACCAATAAATTCACAATATATTTGTCAGCAAATTACAATTTAAACAAATTAGACTAGGTACATACGTGGAACTAATTGATTACAAAAATATGAAGTAGGAATATTTTGTGTTGTATAAGAAACTTTAATTATTTGGGACATGAAAAAGGAGGGTTTGAAGCTTTAGCGAAATAAATTATTTCGAAAAAAACTATCTAAACCAATCTTATTATTTCAAATAATACAAGTGGTCTGCTAAGAAAACTTTTTTGTATAATAAATACATATTATTTACATACTTACATATGTTAGTTAAGATAACTTCGTAGCGTTTGTATTTAGAGTTTGATTGTTTGTACTAGGGTTTGTTTGCGGCGTCTCAGCATTTTCATAGTAAACAATAATTATTTATGTAAAAGCTCGTGTAGGAATTAGGGCGGATGGAGTGTTTACGTCGAAAAAATATTTTTTCGTCTTATAAGTAATTCAATTTCCTGGTTATATAATAACCATATATGTATAAATATGTAAGTCGTATGTATATACGTGGGGTTTACACATTTTTAACTTGTATAATTTATAAAAATTGTTCAGTTAAATATTCAGGGTACTTTTAAGTACTTAAAACGCATGATATAACAAAAAAGAGATTCATAAAATTGAGATAGTGTACGTACTTAGCTTAACAAAAGTCAATAATTATATGTACATAAAGAATTCTTTATATTCGTTACAGTAGGTATGTCCCCATTTAATATTTGTTTACACCCATTACATACTTATAAAGTTTGCATAACATCCTAAGAAAGTTCCAAAGAAATATATATATACTTACATATTTGCATTTCACATTATGAATGTCCTTTACATTGAGTTAAATAGTCTGATGTTATCATATGATTCATACGAAACTATGAGAATACAATACCGCTAGGTCAACAGTCAACCGTGCATGAAAGTGTTTCCATGAGCAACTCGCCATGAAATTAGTCGGATGCATATTTTACTGGTATTCCGTATATGTAAGAATGGTGCAAGTAAATTCGGATACACATTTATGTATCTATATCGTACATTGTATCGTACTTACATACATATGTATGTATGTACATATAACAAAGAACATTACATACTAATCCCATTACAGCTAGCAATATTTGTGTTAATTTTACATACGTTCCTTCATATCCTGTCATATTACACTACTCCTTGTAGACAGATACACATTTATGGAATACATTGCCGAATCGACACCTGGGCCGCCAATCAAACAATTTTAACAAGTTTATTTACTAAACACCGAAATACTAAACAACAAATATTGTTAATTCTTAGTAAGAATTAAATTGTCTAAAACTACCCTACTGCAAGTCTTACATCGCGTCATTGACAATATGGATAATTTAATTTGTGCAGAATTCCAACAATTAAATTTGCAAGAACCGGAAATTTCTATACAAGCCAGTATCAATCCTCTTCTTGATCCACACGTACATACGTTTCTCTTTATTATATAATTTCTGGGTACAAATTAGTACAAAATTCTTACTACAAATATTAATTTTCTGTTCCAACAGATATTGGAAAAAATATTCCACAACCTTGTCAAAAATCCGAAACAACGCGTCCCCTCGCCACACTTTACAACAACCTTGAAAAATTGTCGGTTAGTTTGTAAAGCTTGGAATGACGAAGCATTTCCCCAACTTTTGCAACAAACTTGGATCAATTCGTGTCAAGGGTTTGCCGAATTATGTGCTCAATCGGTAGAAAATGCGCGAATAGCTCCGACCAGACTGATTATTAGGCCTGAATGCAGAAATGGACTGACATATTATGGTACGGATCGTTTCCTGCAAAATTACGGACGCCACGTGACCTCCTTAGAGATTAAATTCATGCTTCTTCCCCATCAACATGGCACCAATTTCAAACTCGAATTGTTCCGCTTGTACCCCAATCGAATCTGGTCGAGCTTCGAGACAGTTATGAAACTGTACGTCCGCCACCGCCACCTAGACGATACTCAAGACAGAATTATCGACACAGGCGTGAGCGTAATTGGTATGACGATGGGTTTGACAGGCGAGATGATTACGAGATGGCATTAGGACATGATGATGACAGTGATTAAAAACTTGGTTAAAATTTCTGAATAATTTTGCTAATAAATTAGGGCACTAATAATGGTGCTTTCCCAACGGATGCTCACAGATTTTTACCAAACTGGTTCCAATTCCAATCGATCATAAGGCAATGTGAAATCAGGAAAAGGCACTATCAAGTCCTATGCTGAGGTTTGGGTAGATATTTTCATCCTGTTACAAATATTTCTACTAAACTCGAGCACTGACAGATAGTGTCTTTTGCAAATTTTATATGAATTGCATTTGCGATCTATTGACACTAATTTGGTCAAAATTTGTGAGCATTCGCTTGGATATGTATCTCCATTAAAAGCATGTTACAAAATTTAACGTTAGGTTTATTTCTGAAATTTAATATTATGACGGAATTTCTTATTGCTTCTTGCCTCAAAAAGTTTAGTACAAAATAAAATATACACTATATTCTGAATTTTCACTACATGGCCTAAAAAGATTCATATGATAAATAAGGTATTGTTAGAATTCTTTATCACATTGTAGTGTAAATAAGAATTGAGGATTTATACAATATGCTGCTTTATGCAATAACTTGCATCTAAATGCGTCGCAACGAAGGTCTTTCACATGTAAAACCCAGATTTACATTACAAAAATATTCATTATCCGCTAAGACACAATGCCCAATTTTTAACTTTGGAATTATACCGAAATTATCAAGGACAGCGCACAGTCAAACATTTTCGAAAACAAAGCCCCTCTCGAACCCTTTCCAACATAGCCGAACGGTCCAATCGCCACCTTAAGCAACTTACAGCTTCTCAGCCGTCTTCTTCTCCAGCCAGAAATTTCTTTAAGTTTCCAAATTCTGATAAAATCCTGCGCCGAAAGAGACACATCTGTCATCAACGGCATCCCCAAGTGTACCAAGGCAATTTCCAAAAATATGAACGAGGTCACGATGAAGGTTACCAAAAACGGAACAACGGCCACCAATTTGACCAATATGTAGCTAAACATGGTAAAGCATATCACCGGTATGAAAACTAGGGATGAAAAGGTTAAGTACAAAATTTGGTTTAAGGCCTCAGTAATAATTTGTAGTTCCCGATATTTTCTGAAAGCATTTTCGAAAATAATATCCTTGGATGAGCACATAATTTTTACACATTTGGTGACCAGTGGGATCGTGTTTCCCATAATTATGAACCATCCCACAATTATGACGGAGCAGTGAAAGTGATTCAAGATGAGGATGGGAAGCCTAAGAAGAATTTTTCCAAAGGGAGGAACATCAGTCCAATTTCGGAAAAGAAAATAGGTCGGGTCGCTCTTATTGTCGATAAAAATGGGGGTGAAAGCTACTCCGAGAGGGTTTGTGATTAATAGGGGGATGAGGAGATGAAGAAGTAAGCCGAGGTGGGAGTCGTTATGGTCGGCTAGGGTTCCGAAGTGCATAATTAGACATTTTTTGTAAAACTTCAAGTTAAAACAAATACTAAAGGCTAGTACTCAGGAGCGGTTTTCAAGCGAAATTGTAACTTGCTGAACCGAAAATGGAGTTAAGTTCGGTTAAAATTTTAAGCTGGTAGAAAGCACTTTCCCAAGTATATGTATTTCGTTCATAGATACTTAGCTGGTTTGATCTGTAAAATAGATTTAACTTTTCCAGTTTTAAATCAGTTGTCAGTTGCGAAGTCACTTATCAATCATATTTCACATTAAGAGATATTCTCGATTTAACTCGTGATTAGGGCTTAATTTGAGCGAAAACTGCCTCACTCGAAAAAATTCCGCCCAGTTTCGGTACGAAGAGTTAACTACCGCTCGAGCATAACTTTAGTGGGATTTACGCAAGTCATCTTTCACGTGAAAAGTCCATCCTGAGTACTTGGCTTTAACTTTAAAAAATCCAGAAATACTCACCTCTTGGCTTTTGGGATTCCCATATTTTTAACAAATTCTTCAAAACGAAACAAAGTTGGTCAATTTTTCTCACCCATGATAACATCAATACGGATGCATATATTTGAATCCAAGTCGTTAGGATGGACACCAAGCCGAGACTGAGAGTTATGTCGACATCTCTAACTCGAGTAAATATCTCATAGGAAAAGATATAAATGTAGAACAAATTCAGGACCAGGGTGAGACTTGTGAGGAGAAACAAGGGGGGACCAATTTTGTCATGGGGGTGGTTCGGCGGGGTGTCAAGTTTCCCCAGTCCCAAGTTATGTATTGTGGGTAGAAAATGTCCGATAATTTTGCGAATCTTTGAAAAGCCTGCAACGGCGTGTACGAGAACAATGACGGCGTTAAAGTAAATTTATTTTTCTTAATATGCATGATTTTGGCGGATGCATAAACCACAGAACGTCATAAAGTGTGGGCTAAATATTCAAATATTGGAATTAGGCGTAAAAGCAATATGAGAATGTGCATTTATGTAATTTTGTATAATATACAAAATTTTTAAGCTAAGCATATTATGCTGAGCTTAACAATTTTAATGCTTCACCAAACCAAGCCAACTTGGCATTGCAAAGTATGAAGTCTTCCTGCGTAATAAAATTCTACGTTTGTCGTCATAGGAATATAATGAAATCCATGGAATTGGATAAGCAAGCAGATCCAATTACATAATCTTTTCTGACAAGGCAATTTATTTAATCTCCTGTTTCTACATACATGTCTGTCCATATTACGTTTAAATTTTTTAGTATGGAAAATTATTTTATGCCTTGCATATAGCTACTTAGGAAGCCCTTTGGGAAACGATATTTAGATTCTTCTAAATAGATAAAATGATTTATGTAACTACGTAGATAATATTAGCTATTTTCATACACTGTCAAAAATGTGGTGAACATATGTACATATTGTACAATCATACAACCAAACGAAACCCTGCTAACCACGTTTCTGCAAATCATATAATTGTCAAAATTTTATTCTGCGAATTTAATAAGTGGCAGATAGTAAGGAATTTATGAATGTTATAAAAAATTAAATTGTATCAAATATTGCAATCATTTTCCAATTTTTTCCGAAATATCTTGAAAGATTATCTTGAGAGCTTGAGACAAAAGCCTTTCTTCATACATATTTTCAATAAACTATATGTATATATCCAAATTGTTTATTAAATGATTTGTTTTGACATTTGAAGTACTTAAATCATTTTCTAACATCGAGTTATTTTGCAAATATATCTTATTATGAAATTAAAATTAAAATCAAATTAAGTATTTAAAATAAGGTCTCTAATTGTTGCCGGGTCTGCTGCACCCAGTTTTGGATTTTAGCCCTTGCTATAAATAAAGTATTTAATATACGTGGGTGTTTTATTATTAATTTTCAAAAGGTATGTTCCGCACTGTTTCTGACCAAACTTTTGATGAAATAACAAACTTCAAATACTTTTAGGATGCTGTGATTTTTTTCAGTTCTGTAGGTTAACATTAACACTACCAATAACTCATTAAAATCGACCTCGAAAATATGCCAAAATTTACGACTTGATTTCATTATCATCCGAAAACCGTTTTCCCCTGATGTTTTTCTTTAAGTTTCGAAACGAATAATAATCACTAAGGGACAAGTCTGGACTGCACGGGGCGTGGTTTGTGCAGGTAAAGCGATTTTCGTCTGCACTAACCCTCGCAAAAAGCCAGGTATGAGGTGGCGCGTTGTCGTCTAAAAAAAGGCCAACTCTTTATTTTGACCCCACGTTTCTTTTCAACCGGAGGACGCAGCTCCTTCGGGGTTCCTGCATACACGGCCCCATTTATTGCAGTATTTCCAGCAATAAATTTTATAAGGAGGGGACCTTTGGTATCCTTGAAAATGGTCATCATCAATTTTTTTGTCAGATTTTTGCACTTTTCAATTCACGGGCGGTGGCAACCCCTCGTGCTTCCATTGAGGGAATTATTATTTGGTCACCGGGTCATAATAGTAAACCCAAATACCATATGCAACTAATAAAATATTGAGCAGGTTCAAGTCTTCATTTAATAGGTTAAAATTGGCATTGCAAAAGTCGACTCGATCCTGTTTGTGAGATGCCGAAAGCAATTTTGGTACCCAACGGACGGAAACCATTTTCATACCTAAGTCTTCAGTTAACATGGAACAAATTGCTGGTTTTGGAACACCCATCTCATCTTCTAAATAGGACAGTTTCAATCGCGGATCTCTCATTATTGGTTCCTCTAGTTTCCGGAGCCTTTCTGTGGAAGAAGCGGATTTTGAGCGTCCTTGCGACTTTTTGCCCGAGACCTCGTTTCGCCATAATTAAAAATTATTGACCCAATTGAATTTGTGTTTCGTGTTAGGCAGTTTTCATTGTACATTTTAAGCATTCAACCATAAATCTGCGACACGTATTGCCTATCCAGCATTAAAAATTAAATCACACTACGATATTTAATTTGCAAATCTAGCATTTTTTCCGTCGAGGTAAAGTTTGCCGATTTATTGCTAGTGTTGACGTTAACCTTAAGAACTGAAAAAAATCACAGCCTCCTAAATGTATTTGAAGTTTGTTATTTCATCACAATTTTGGTCAGAAACAGTGCGGAACATACCTTTTGAAAATTAATAATACAACACCTACGTATTAAGGGGAACTCAATTAACTGAATTTAGTCTCAAATTAACGAGAATTAAAAATACATTAAAAACAGAAGACATGTAGTGTAGTAAAAAAGTACATTAACATGCCTGTGAACATATGCAAATTCTTGCTCGCGTAATACCATCAAAATTTTGTTTAAACCGAACATTATGAAAAACTTACGGCTACAAAATTACTATAATTTCAGAAAAATCGGAGTGAAGCCGAACGCGTCACCGCATTGTAAGTACCAAATTACCGATATTCGTATTGCTGATTTAAATAACAGTTTTACACATTAACTAATTACTAAAATTTACAAAAATCTAAATTATCCTGACCTCAAAATTGGTCTATGTATGCAATTCCGAAATGGTAATTTGTAACTCAAGCATATGTAGGAAAAATTGGTACCAATTCGGCACACTTTGAACTCAATATCCAGACAACTCTATTTCAGAATAGTCTATTTATCAGTCTATTCAGAATACTTCCTGAAAAACACAATATGTGGAGCAATGCGACTATACCATATTTTCGGCGCGCCGTCCTTTCCGATCAGCGCTGTTCCGTCTGCACTTGCTACACTTTAAAATGGAACGAGAAAAGAGGCAGAGCAGAACCTTGCGGTCAAAATGCGTGGCAGTTTAGAAATTTCCAGATCTACACGGCCATAATGACACTGATCGTGTTGCCGGTCCATTTCGCCCGAACATTTCAACTCCTAACTTCCACGCATCAAGAGAAACACCCAGACTTGAAAATATTTCTCGTTGCTTTCACCGTCACGGATTTGCTCTTCGTATGCATCCCGTATTTGTGGTTCTTCTCGAAATCTGAGGGCCTAC